GGGTACAGGCCAGAGGCTCAGGGGCGGTGAGAGGCTTCACCAGAGACAGAGTGGGGAGCAGAACAGGCAGATCAATGAAGTAATTGCTGAGGGGAGCAGCGGGCGGGTCAGGAGAGGTCTGCCACACCATGTGGTCACCTCCGGGGCAGGCGGGGATCAAACTCATGCGGAAGTGACTTTCGATTCTCAATGCAGTGCTTTAACCCGCTGCGCCACCAGGGAGGGCCCATGTAATGTTTTCTATAGAACCTTCCATTCTGTTGTCTTCGCTCTCCTTGTTTTTTTAAATTACACATACATGGCCCTTGTCATAAGTTTAATCCTGAAGGGTATAGAGTGACATGAAAGACAATAATCTTATCTTGGACTCCAGTCCTTGCCCTCAGAAAAGAGTGCTAATAAGCTGACATGTGCTTTTATAGATTTCTTTTGCTGTCTATACAAATAGAAGCCTATCATCGCACTCCTGGAGATCATAATTTTAGAGCAAAAATGGAGTAGCTCATGGCATCCTGCACAGGTGTTTCTGGAGACTAGAATTCCGGATTTCGCTAAGACGCTCTTGGGGAGCCTACCCTGCGTATTTTCAGTAATGATTCCCTTCACATTCCGAATATCCTGGCTTATGAGATAAATTAAATGACCACATTCATTATATAGCCTTCCTCCCTCACATTTTGACCATAATTCTAAGTCAATAATTAGCAGCTACACCTCATTAATTTAATAGCTCTAGAGTACTCTCTATAAATTGATACACCATAATCTGTTTAAAAATGCCCAAATTGATGGTCAGAAAAGGTTTCCAATTTTCTTGCTAATGAAAATTGTATTATGGTGAGAAAACTTGTCTATCTCTATGTGCCCTTTCTAGTCTTTTTGCAAAAAAAAAAAAAACCCAAACCCCCCCCAAGTTTTAGAAGTGAGATTGTCAGGTAAATACCTCCCACTTTTTTTTTTTTAAAGATTTATTTATATATCCCTCACTTTCAACATTTCTACAACTACTGCCAATTTGTCTCGGGGTAGCTTCTACAAAATCACACACCCACTGA